GTGTGTGTGTGTGTGTGTGTGTGTGTGTGTGTGTGTGTGTGTGTGTTGCATTCCAGCCCATCTCTTTTTAGTCCACCAGTGGGGACTCACCCCAATTCAGCAGGTAGCTTTGGGTGGAACGGTAAAAACCCGAGGTATTTCTGAGTCCTTTCCCACCCCGGGGAAGTCTGGGGTCGGAGTTGCGGGTGGGTGGATGGGGATATGAAGAAGGAAGGAAGTGGAGGGGTAGGTTAGCCTCTCCTCGAATAGGTTTTAAGGAGGTGTCGTCACCAAATGGCTGAATCGGCTGTAGCGGAGAGCGAGAAAGGAATTCCCTTTTCCAGAGGGGGTTCTTCTACTTAGTCGATCTCAGAAAAGGTCGGAAGTTTGGGGAAGGGAGGGCGCCCAGCGGGTGATGTTAAGCCCCATTATGGGGTCGGGTGGGGGGGGGGAGGGGAACGTTCAGTTCCAATCTGGTTCTAGGAGGTGGGGGAAGGGATGAGGGTTTTGCCCGGTGCGGTTCACTCGGCAGCGCTGCTTGTTGCTTCTCTGGCTCAGACCCTCTGCCCGCCCTGCTCCCGCCTCCCGTTATGTTTGGGGTTGGGAAAAGAGGAACCCTCGTTTGCAGAGGAATTTATTGGCGTTGTAGACGGAGTTCATTTAACACATATCCTATGAAGGCAGCCAGACACCTTCGCGCGGGGGTGGAGGGGGTGGTAGTGGTTGAAGCTTGCTTCTTTCTGGGCCCAGAAGCTATTGGTCCACCAAAAAAATTTCTGCGGTGTCTTTTTCCCCCAACACTTTTTTCCCCCATTTTCCAGATGTAGCAGCTGCATCTGGTTCCGTTTCGCCCCACACCGCAGCCACATTAACATCCCTCTCCCTCCCTTCCCCCTCACCCAAATTAAAACTGCTGTTCTTCAACTTGTCCTTACCACCTCCCTCTTTAAAAATTTTTTGAGACTGGGAGAGGAGAAGAGAGAGTTACTCTGGATCCCAAGTTATTTCGAATCTGATGGTGGAGATGCTGTCTAGATTGTGCCGGAAAAAGGCGTCGTGGGAGATGGGGCCACGATTTTAGGGGCGGTGGCACTTGGGAACGGTTCTGCTGGAGGTGGCCTCTTTGGCCATGGGTTTGACCCAGAACTGGCCCTGACGGAAGTTTCTGGAACCATAGCATTCCTTTTTCCGTCCCTTCAGTTAGAGCTGGAGCAGCCAGGGTTTCTGACCCTGTCCGTAGCTCGCCGTCGGTGTCTGACCGCCCCGTGGTGGCGTCACGCGTTCCTTTTCCACCCTCCCTGGAGCGAGCCTGGGGCGCAGCTGCGGAGGGCATGGGAGGGGGGCGGCCGCTGTTGCTGCTGGGGGCTCTCCTTGGGCGTTTTAAAGTCGTTCTGTGGGCTGGAAACTGAAGTGAGACATTTTACCTCTTAAGGGCTACAGGGTTGAAAGCGCGGCGTTGGATTGTTGAGGGTTTGTGTGTGTGTGTGTGTGTGTGTGTGTGTGTGTGTGTGTGTGTGTATGTGTGTGTTGTTTTTGTTTTTGTTTTGTAATAGCCTTTGAGGTAGGAAAGCACCTTATGGTCCAAAGTTGCGGGAGGGTGGGGAGAGTTGGTCGCTCTCACCCTCTCTTTTCCAGTCTCTTTCAAATTGAAAACACTTCTCTGGTTTCCTCCTTTGGGCGGTAGTTTGGAGGCTGTAATGAAATCGCACTTTCTCTAGACATGGTAATTAAGGTGACTGTTTCCTCCGCAGATGTGCCCTGCCCTTTGCACCTCCGGACCAGCGCTTTTTTTGGAATAGCGTCTAAACTGTAGAACCTTAGCCTTGAGACTGTTTAGCAGAAAGTGGCCATTTTCCCCCTGGGCCCAGCCTCCTGGTTTCCTCTCTGAGGCTTTAAAAGCTAAGTAGCAGGGCCCTGTGGGACGTGTCTCAGCCTAGCTAATTACCCCCAAGCCTGGGTCATCTCCTTTCCTTCCAGTGACCAAGGGAGAGCCATTGCCAACTGTCTGTCCTGATGGCCTGCCCCTGTAATGACTTGTTTATGTATTCCACCCCACCCCAGTTGGGAGAAGCTCCAGGGCTGCCGCTGACCCCTGGAGGAGCACAGGGTGTTTGGGGTCAGGAGGTTGCTGGGGCCTGGCTCTAGCAGGGTTGGTTACATACTGCATCAGTGACAAGCTCCTTGAAATATCTGTTGCATTCACTGTTAGTCATAGCCAAGTGTCAGCTCTTTAATGAGGGCCATCCGGATGGAGAGCCACTTGGACATGTGTGCTTTCACTGCCTGCGTTTACCGTGCCTGTACAAATGCCCATTTTGTAGACGTTTTCACAAATGGGATTTGGGCCAGAGGGGGCACCACTTACTTTGGTTCCAAAGTAGACAGCCTTGGGTACTTCTTTTCCTTGGTCAAAGTTCCTTGAACTTAGAAAGTTCAGTAGAAGAGTAAGTGAAGCAAAAGCACAGGAAGAAATAGAGTAGGAACATTGCAGATGCTGTTGTCCCTCGTGTCTTGAGGGAGATTAGAGTACATCAAGGTATACCTAAGCCTGAGCTAGCTTGGACTCCAGAGGGCAGGAAGAGCACACTGAGCATTGAGTAGGCAGATTCCAGCCATGGAAACCCAAGGAAAATCTGCAGGTTTTTGCTTTTGGTTCTATGCTTTGTGTTTGGGGCATTGACCTGAAAAAAAGACTCCTAAAGCAGGGGATTTGCTCCCATGAGCCAGCTTCTCTGAACACACTCTACTTGCCTCCATTTTTAAATCTCTTTCATCAAAATGGCTGTTAGGGAAGAGCTTCCTGAGAAAGTTTGAGCCTGCTAGAGTCAACGAAGGTAGATAGAATGTCTTGTTCTGAAAAAGCCTCATCCCTTGAGATGAGTTTAATTTCCTCTTGGGAAATTTGCCTTGCATTTGTCTTCCCAAGAGCTTTGTCAAAGGTCTGGATGCACCAGGGACTGGTGGGAGTCCAGATGTAGAGCTTTAGAGAAGATTCTGGTGTTTCCAGAGAGGATTAAATTCCAGACTTGGGCCAGCATATGTGCTTTTTTCCCTCAGCTTGCATTTACCTTAAACAGAAATTCTCTGTCACTACCACTTCTTGCAATTAAAGAAGTTATATTTGGTCTTCCCTATGCCCTTCCCCCCCCCCCACCTCCCAGGTAAATAGCTGTCACTTGGGTGAACAACTCCAAGAATATGGTGAATATGGTGGTGTTCCACCAGTCCATTTTGTCTTCAAAAGCAAGGTTTCCCAGGTTATGGTGGAGCAATTAGTATTTCACTTATTAATATTAATTTTTGGTATACCTCCCTCCCAAGGACATTGGACACATTTTTTATAAACACTCAACATTTATAGTGTTTCCATTGGGGCACCTGGGTGGCTCAGTCCGTTAAGCGTCTGACTTTGCCTCAGGTCAGGATCTCATGGTTCCCGAGTTTGAGCCCCGCATTGGGCTCTATGCTCTCGGTATGGAGCCTGCTTTGGATCCTGTGTTCTCCTCTCTCTCTGCCCCTGCCCTGCTGTGCTCTCTTGCTCAAAAAATAAATAAGTAAATAAAATATTGTTAAAAAAAACAGTGTCTCCCTTGGACCAACAAAAATTTTACAAGCTGAGCTGCATAACTTTTTTCAGGTGTCTATTAATTATTTGCCCTGGTACTCTCAACAGTGAGTAGAGAATACTCATTTTGGGGGAGTGCGACCATTTCTGTTAAGAAGTCAGTCTTCTTCCCATCTAAAGGGATGAACGTTTTGATGTTACTTCCTCAATTCTGAGGAATCAAAATGTTTAGAAAATGTCTCATTTGGTATTTTTTGAGATAGAGTTTGGCTGGCTAAGAAGGAGTACTTGACTATTGCTTTTATGTGGCATTGGCAACCTCTTTTCCTCAAGACTATCTGGGGGCGCCTGGGTGGCTCAGTGGGTTAAGCGTAGGACCCTTTTCGGCTCAGGTCATGATCTCACGTTTTGTGAGTTCGAGCCTCGAGTCAGGCTCTGCACCAGCAATATGAAACCTGCTTGAGATACTCTCTTCCTGTCTCTCTGCCCCTCCCCTGCTCTCTCTCAAAATACGTAAACTAAAAAAAAAAAAAAAAGATCTGTATCAGTTTCTTTTCAATCAGCCTTTCCTTCATTCACTTACTCATCCAATTAACAAATGTGTCAGCATCTGCTATGCAGATCGTGGGTGCTAAGGGTATTAAGCGAAAGTTAGTCAGGCAAAGACCCTGCTTCTTAAGGAGCTTGCGATCCCATGATACTTTGGAAATTCGGAGGAATGAGAGCCTCAGCTAGAAGGCTCAAGAAAGACTTGTGGAAGAGGTAGGGGGCTTTTTTTGTTTGTTTTTTGTTTTGTTTTTGAGGTGGGATTCAGAGAATAAGAAAGCTTGGCCCATTAAAGATGGGGGAAGGGCAAAGAAGAAGGCAGAGCACGAAGATCGCCTAGGATCATGCTGCCCCATAGAAATAGAGCACAATGGGTGGCTCAGTCCATTAAGCATCCGACTTCAGCTCAGGTCATGATCTCATGGTTTGTGGGTTTGAGCCCTGCATCGGGCTCTGTGGTGACAGCTCAGAGCCTGGAGCCTGCTTTGGATTTTCTGTCTTGCTCTCTCTCTGCCCCTCCCCAGCTCACACTCTGTCTCTCTCAAAAATGAGCATTAAAAAAAAAAAGAAATAGAACACGAGCCACATGTAATCTTAGATTTTTCTAGTAGCCATGTTTGAAATTCAGAAAAAAGAAACAGGTGGAATTCACTTTCATTAATTCATTGGTTGAGATTTTAATAATCTATTTAACTTAGCCTCATAAATCCAAAATGCTATCATTTGAACATGTAACCAATGTAAAAAATTATTGATGAGATACTTTACCTTCCTTTTTTTCACACCCAAGGTTTGAAGTCTGGTGTGTATGTTTCATTTCTAACACGTCCTAATTCACATTAGCCACATTCCAAGCAAGTCCTTGGCAGCTACAAGTGGCTAGTGGCCATTGCATGGGATACCTAGGTCTAGAGGATAGGGTTTGAAGATAGATAGTGAGAAATACCTTTGTAAAGATAGGAAGTTTGTGTCTTCTGCCACCAGTTACCAACGTCTCCTGAGAGTGCTGGCCAGGAATGACTCAAAGCACAGTATCTATGATTCTTACATGGATTTGTACTTAGGAGAGGGCAGGTTCTTTCACCCATGCTGCCCATATGATCTCTTAACCACCTGTGATGGAGGCTGGGCAAATACCTCCTCCAACAAGTGGGGAAATGCAGAGGTTGTGTCCCCCCCTCCAGTCCCCAGTTGAGGACGACCTCTGTGCCCAGGTGGGGTTGGTGGGGGGGGGGGGTGCTTCAGGTTCCTGGAGACCTGACTGGTTTGAGAGAGACTGAGGGTAGAGCCAGCTGCAAGGTCTCTGAGGAAGCTTCTGAGTACACCTGCAAGGCTGCAGGTCACATCTGTCCAGCAGTGAAGGAGGGAGACTGTCCCTAGGAGATTTTAAGAATTCATTAATTAGTAGAAGGAGAGGGGGGTGTGGTAAAGGAAGAGGTGACAGTTCTAGGGTCCCAGACACTATTGTGGAACGGGGACCCTTCTCATTCCAGGGGTTGGTGCTGGGAGGCTGGGTTTTCTTGACGTCCTTTGTTTCACAGATGTGGGACTGGAGGCCCAGAGAGAAGCACCTTTTTGGGGTTGAGCTGGAGAGAAGCAGCTAGAAGAGTTTGACATGCACTGGTAGCAGAGCTGAGCACAGCCAGCCACACCTGTGAGGGAGCCGGAGAGGCTTTTTGGGGGACAGAGTGGCTGAGTGGTGGTGGAAGCCACCTGTCTGCTGCATTGAAAACAAGCTTAATCGCCTCAGCATGGTACCACCCTTTCCACTGGATACTGAAAATTCATTCATTACTCTGGCAGTTCCTGTGATGCTTAGGTTCTTAGCCAGGGGTGCCTTTCTGGATGACAAGCCTGTATCTTTTGTTTGGTGTATCTTTGGGGGCATAATGAGATGTGGGATGTGGCTTACAGACGCCCTGTTGTAGCAAGCATCGCTTCTGTCCCAGACCAGGGACCGTGCCCCATCCTCGGCCCTTAGACGGTCCTAGACAGATCTCTGATCTGCTTCCAAGGGTCTTCTCTCAGGCGAAGGAACTGAGGCGCTCCCATCTCCAGAGCTACCTTGGGTCTGTCCATGTCTGCTTGGTTTCTTTATGACACAGAGATGCTCTTTGGAGAAAATGGGCTTGCGCCAGATAGAGCCAGATTTGCTTACCCCTACTTGCCCCCTGGGCCCTGTCCTTTAGCATTAAAAACGAGTGGTGAGTGTCCCAGTGCTTTTGCCTACCAGCTGCATAGCCAGGAGTAAAGTACTCGACCTCTTGGAGTCTCAGTTTCCCCATCCCTTAAAGGGGAATAGTAATTCCTACCTCCAAAAGTGTATAGTGAGGAAGAGAAGATGTTTTATAAGTATAAATTTTACCTAGTACATGCTTCATGCATAGTAGGTGCTCAGTAAATATCCTGTTCTGTCTCTTCAAGTCCCTTTCCTAAATTTAGAACATTGAAAGAGAAATGTTTATTTATTTAACGATTTGAAGTTATCAAATTTTAGTAAAGCCCTGGAAGGAAGCTAGTGGTAGTACATGCCTCCTCCCACTAGCCAGCGCCTGTGAACGAAGCCAAGAATCTGGGGGGTTTTCTGCCAACCGGGACTGACTCACTCATGGGGACTGACTCACTCATGAGGGGCCCTGTCTGCTCCAAGGAGGCAGGGCTGAAGCACCACATTAGGGCATGTTCCGGAGAAGTGGATTCTCCAAATAACTTGGATGGTTCCTTGGAGCATTTAGGACAGAAGCAACCTATAATATGGAGACGTCACTCCTACCCCAGTCCAAACAGGGCCCAGAAAGTCTTAGCACTTGGTAAATGCTTAGCAGCAGCAATGATCCTGTCCTTAAGACCCTCAGTGGGTATTTAAAATTTTACCACTCCAAACCTGAGGAGGGTAAGGGGCTAAAGTCCGTGCTTTTTGGAATGGGTCCTGGCAAGGACCTTCGTATTCTTCAGCGTAACCATTTCTGCTAGACATCTTGCAGCGTCGGGGAGGGGCATTGCGTCCACCTCGTGGTTCTGTGCTTTGAGGTCCTTTATGAGTTGGTGAGAGTTGTGTTCTGTCCATACGGGAACTTCATAGAATCAGAGGTCCCTGCGATGTGTGTGGTGTTAGAGACCCAAAGAAAGAACCCAGGAGATCACTCACTGCAGCTTCCTGGTTGCACAGGTCCAGAGAAGGTCAGCGTTGTACTGGTTTCCCAGTCCTTGGTTTGTTCCAGAATTCATCTTCTCTACCCCTCACCAAAGGGCTGGTTTGCTCTGGAGGAAGTGCAGTGTGTACTGGGAGGGGCACCAGCACGCAGGGGCCTCCCGCAGCCCCACCACACTCTGCGGAGCCCTTGCCTGTGAAGGGGCGGAACTCTTGGGGGTTTTCACCAGGCTCTTTGCTTTCCCAGCACAAATCATCTTGGGGCTTTTGCCTTGGAGGACTTCACGACAATTTTCCCAACAAGGCTTGCCATGTAGCCCACACTCAGGAAGTAGTCGGAGAGCTGAATTAAAGCACTGTTTTGTCTAATTAAGGCCTATAACCTCAAATTCAGTATTGGGGCAGGACCACAGTTCCCTTCTTTGTGTCTTAAGAGTAAGTTTTTGCTTTAAGCACCCTTCTGGACAGGGTGACTGTGCGACCCACTTTAACTCCTTTTTCTCCTTATCTCCCCCCTCCCACGCAGACTCTCCTAACTTTTTGGTTTGTTCTTTCCTTAGAGTCAGCTTGAAAAGGAGGATCAAGCTCAAGACGGAGTCTCCATGGAGGTGTGGAGCCTGGTCACCAACCTCTAACTGCAGAACTGGGATGTGGAGCTGGAAGTACCTCCTCTTGGCTGTGCTGGTCACAGCCACACTCTGCACTGCCAGGCCAGCCCCGACCTTGCCCGAACAAGGTAAGGCACGGGCTGAGGGGTCAGCCTGGACTCCTGGGCCTCGGAGACCTGGCAGGCTAGGACAAAGGTGATGTTGTGGTTGACCGGGAAGGCAAGGCTCCACCCCGGATGGAGCAAAGGGCTCCTTTTTGTAGGAGAGGCTTCCAAAATACTTGGGCTGGTTTGCACTTGGCTATAAACACACCCAGCTTCAGCAGAGGCTGGGGTCATAAAGGCTAGTGACGTCCATTTGCCAGAGGTGACCTGCTTAGGGCGGAAATATATGCTTTTCTCTTCCTGAAAAAGAACTTCTGATTGGGATCTAAGAGCTGACTCCCCAACCTAGATGACATATAAAATGGGGCACAAGTGACCTATGAATTTGTTTGTTTAGCACTTGGATGTTGAGGGGTGTGGGAGCTTGATAAAGACCTCTGGCTTCTAGAAAATTGTTCCAAAGACAATTGTTCCATCTCCTTTGAGGGCTGGCAGTCATGGCCACGTGCCTGCCATTTTGTCGTTCTTGGCCATGTCTGACAGGCTGTGGTTGGAAGCCTGCCGAGCGGTTTGCTTTGGATACGCACCACTGGAGGGATTTCAGAGAGATGGAAAGCCAGGGAGCATTATGGTGCATGGATGCTCCTGGAGATCTATAGCTTCTTACAAAGTCGGACATTATTAGTAATGAGAAGGACTTGCTCATGGGATTTACTGGAATTGTGAAAGTACTTCATGAAGGTTACAGGTATATAACACACCTAGTGGCTTTCAGGGGCCTGTGAGAACCCACTGTGAGAACTTACTGCTGCCAAAGGGTAGTGTGGCTTGTGACTCGGTGGCTCATCACACAAATACGAAGGTTGGCAGGCAGTGGGCGAGAGGCTCAGGTGTGCATGTGAGGTAGTGGCTGAGTTTAAAGAACCATCAGTCTCAACTGTCAGGACCCGTTCGAGTGATAAATCATGAGTGAAAATATTTGTCTACTCTCATGGTGATGGGGAAGATCACATGAGACTTTCTGGAAGGTGTGCTTGGGTGGACCACACAGAGTAATGTTGCATTCGGAGACAGAACTGAACGTAAGACTTGAGCTAGAACGTGCCAGAGACCCAAAGTGGGAGAGATCGTCTCTGCCCACAGGGAGTTTATTATCAGGGAGATAAGTACAGAGGTAACTAAATACAAGGTAGACCGTGTTTTAACCACACAGTGGAGTCATAACAATGCAGTGGGAATGCAGAGGAAGGGGAGAGCAGAGAGCATTTGAGATGGGTCTAGAGGGATGGGTGAGGGTTTGTTGGATGACAGCCAAGGGGGTTGGTTTGGAGGGGAATGGAGGGCATTCCAGGTAGACTAGCATGAATGAGGGTGCTGAGGCAAGATGTATAAGGTGTATACAGAATGACTTGCCTGGTGAGTAGGTAGTTGTGGGGAGTAATACCTGGAAGAATTGAATTGCGTTAGCATATGGAAGGCCTTAACACCCTGCTAAGGACACTATGCTTAAACGAGTAGATACTGGGAATAAATGGGTAGATACTAGGAATCTCAAAAAGTTCTGAGCAGGTAATGATGTGGATCCAGCTTTCAGAAAATTAACTTGGCAGTTGAATTTGGATAGATGGGAAGAAGAAGTCTGTGTTTGAGTCCTGCTCTGCCATTTAATATCTGCATTACTTGCTTTGACAAATTACTCAAGCACACTAAGACTTAGTTTGCCCATCTGTTTTTTCTTTTTAATGTTTTAATGTTTATTTATTTTTGAGAGAGAGAGAGAGACAGAGTGTGAGGTGGGGAGGGCAGAAAGAGAGGGAGACACAGAATCCAAAACAGACTCCACGCTCTGATCTGTCAGCACAGAGCCCCTTGTGGGGCTCGAACTCACAAATGGTGAGATCAGACCTGAGCCGAAGTTGGACACTTAACCGACTATGCCACCCAGATGCCCCTTAGTTTGCCCATCTTTAAAATGGGGACAGTAATAAAGCGTTAAATGAGGTACCCAGATAAGACACCTACAGGTAAAGTTTTGGTAGTTATTACTGCTGTTACCACAGTTGCCAGACAGACGAGTTAGCTGTTTGTTTAGCTGTTTGTTTTGAATGTCTAGCTAGAGGAAGGAACCAGAGTGGGGGGCGTGAGTTGTAAAGGAAGGGAAAACCAGCAGACACTATAGAAATAGAATCTGTGGTTTTCAGTAGGTTGGCTGTCAACTCTGGGTGATTCGAGACAGAGACAGAATGAAAGTAAAAGGAGTGAGTTAGGGCAGAAGGTTTATGAGGAGCAGAGATTTGGATCAGCCACAGTGTAGACGGTAATAAGGGAGTCCAAAAAGCAAGGAGGGCTTGGATGAGGTTTGAGAATATGAATTTATGTTGGGCCCTAAAGTGCTTTTTTTTCTTTTCTTCAACTTTCTCTATCAAACTCCTTTGCCCTTGAGAAATGGAGAGTGGAGTAAGTGAATGGTATGGGTCTCGGGCCCAAGGAATTGTGGGGTGGGGTGGGTGTGGAGAGGTTCACTGAATCCACTGGCTGTGGATCCTAACTGAGAAAGGAAGTCCAGGCGGTGATAGATGGTGGAGCCAGGGGGCTGAAGGTTTTGATGAGGAGGAAACACAGGCCAGGAACAGAAGGGAGGGAATAGGGAAGGTGGAGGGGGCTATTAGGAGGGCTCTGCAGCAGTGAAGACTTAAATTAAAACCCCGTTTAAAAAAAAATCAACTGAGGCATAATTTACATTTTGAAAAATAACATCCATTTTTTTTTTAATATAATTTATTTTGAGAGAGAGCACAAGCAGGGGCGAGGGCGCAGAGAGAGAGAAGGAGAGAGAGAATCCCAAGCAGGCTCTGCACTGTCAGTGCATAGCCCCACTCGGGTCTCAAATCCACAAACCATAAGATCATGACCTGACCCTAAATCAAGAGTCAGATGCTTACCCGACTGAGCCACCCAGGTGCCCCAATACACCAATTTTTAAGGGTATAGTGTCTTTTGATAAATATAATGTCCCATGTGACTACCACCCCAGTCAAGGTAGGGAACATTTTCATCACCTCCAAAACTTCCCTCTGGCCCCTTTGCATTCAGTCACCTATGCAGCATTGACCCCAGCAACCGCAGATCTACTTTCTGTCACTATAGACTAGCTTTGCCTCTTCTAGAATTTCACATAATGGCATTATGTGGTGACTGTGTAGCCATTCCCCGGTTGATGGCCACTTGGGTTAACAGGTTTGGTTATTATTAATAAAGCTCCTGTGAACATCTGTGTGTAAGTCTCGTGTGGACATAAGGTTTGCTCAGTTGCCTTGGTTTTGATTTTGGCACCACTTCTTACTGTTGACTCTTGGGAAAGTTCCTGTGTGTGGAACTTCTATAAAATATAATGATAATGAACATCTGCTCCCAAGATCCAATAAGAATGTGTGCAGAGCTCTCAGCACAGTGCCTGGCACATGGTCAGTGGGCAATAAATGACGGTTGTGAGTGCTTTTTCCTGGGACCCCACAGAAGACAGCACGTGGTGAGGGGCTTGTTCCCTGGGTGGTGTGGAATGCCTTAGGACACAGATGTGGAAGTCCACTGGACTCCGGGGACGAGTCCCAGATCCCTGTTTGGTTAAGTCCCCCTGTGGGTGCAGTGTGGCTCTTTCACAGAGCTTTACCCCTCCTGAGCTTTGTGATAGCAAAGTACGTGCCCCCCACAGTCTTCAGAGAATTGTTGGGAGGTCATTAGGGAAAATCTGTCCCTGCGCTTTGTAAACCATAAGGTACCCCACAAAGGTAAAGTATCACTGTATGGTCTTGGCCCTGCTGATTATTAAATAATAATGCTGCTATTGTCCTCAGAAAAGACTATAATCTGTGTATAAAGGGTTTGTGCAAAAGTTTAAACCCCAAACTCTGCTCCCACAGAGAGCTTTTCCCCTTCAGAAGGGCCTTCTGTAATTGTGTGTGTGTGTGTGTGTGTGTGTGTGTTGGGAGCCCCTCCCCCAGTCTGCAAATGCTCCTGAGGGAGTGGGGAGGGCCTGGAGTTTCTGGCTGTCCTTGGAAAGTTGATTTAATAAGGGTTCCAGGAAAACCAGCCTCCCTTGGTCCCTCCCTCTCCTTTCCTTTCTCTAGTTTGGGATCGTAAAGAGGCTAAGCTTGTTTCAGAGCAGGTCTTGAGGAAGGAGGGAGAGGGAGTTGTGTGGAAAGACTAAACCTGGGTCATGGGTGGAGGTGCAGAAATGCGCCTTTAAAAAGAGAAATACTGACTTGAAAGACATTTTGAGCTTGAGGAGGGTTGTGTCTGTGTATTTTTCTCTCCTTTAGAATAAGACTTGGAAAAGCATGTGGGTGAATCCAAAACTGCTTGCTTCTTGCAGTTGGGGCTGGGGGTCCTGCCCCCTTTCCAGTAGTAACGTGGGTTAAACACCCCAAACCCCATGGTCAAGGGGACAGTGTGAGACCTGCAGTCTCAAAATACTTGCGTACATACTCAGAAACCTGCAACTAATAAGCGATTTAATGGGCTGGGGTTTTCCTGCTCCTCCCACCTACCCAGATTTGAAGGAGTCTGGTGGCCGGTTGAAGGGGGAGAGGTTACCCCTAATGGAAAAGCCGCACGTTTCCATTGCTGGCTGCAAGCCCCTCGATGCCGGGCGCCACAAAGCAAGGCTTTGTCTTTGTGTTCCACAAAACCTGCGCCCGTGGCGGGGTGGCTACAAGCAGTACCAGAGACATTGCCCCAGCTTCAGGTGGGAGGGCCCCCGGCCACCCCAGACAACCCACCAGGGGGTCCCACAGCTGTCTTTGGCCTTAAGGAGTATGCATTTCAGCCTGGCTGCAGGGGGAGCTGCAAATAGGTACCAGAGGGTATCCCACTGCCTGCCTTGGACAGGCTGCAGCTGACTGGTATGGCCGGGGCACCAGTGTCCCGTGGCTGTACTGGGGCACACATCCAGGAGCGTCCCTCTGCCCCCTCTGCCCCCCAACATCATTTCTTCCTGTCTGCTTTGAATGCACACTGGATGTTCA